GAAAAAACTTGATGCTGTGAAAATCCTGGTCAGTTCTTCTGGGGCAGATGTTATCTTTATTTCTGAGTCCTGGCTCAACAAATCTGTAATGAATAATGACGTGGCAATCAATGGGTTTAACATCTACCGCTGTGATCGTCAAAAAAGGGGGGGTGGAGTCATTATTTACATTAGAGACACTCTGGTTTCAAGTCTTGTGACTTTCAAAACAATTCCAAACCAGTTTGAAGCCTTATCTGTAAACATCACCTTGAATGGAGGCCAGGTTTTAACTGTAGTCTGCTGCTACCGCCCCCCCACAGCTTCACCTGAAGCATTAAATGCCATTAAGGAATTCCTTGGTAATTTAAAATTCAAAGAGATCTTTTTGGCAGGAGATCTCAACATTGATTGGTGTAAGTCGACCCCCCTCTGTGACAAATTCAAGGAATGTTGCTTGTCTTTTAATTTAACCCAACTGATCGACTCCCCCACCAGATTAAATAAAAGCCATCCTGACAATTCCTCCATCTTAGACCTGTTTCTAACTAATATGCCTCACAAATTCCCTGGTACAGGTGTATTCGCTGATCTTTTGAGTGATCATTGTGTGACAGCGGCTTTAAGAAATAGTAAACTTCCACCTTCTAAGCCCAGATTAATTAAAAAAAGGGATCTGAAACATTTCTGTGAACAGTCATTCCTCTGGGATCTGTCTCACTTTGACTGGCATCGTATTCTGTTAACTGATGACGTGAACTCTGCTTGGAACTATTTCCATAATAATTTCATTTATTTCCTGAACTTACATGCTCCTTTTCGTCAGTTCAGAATAAAGGGACGAGACAGCCCCTGGTTTACTCCAGAGCTAGCTGACCTCCTGTTATGTAGCGAAGAACTAGAGTTAACGAGAAGTTGTGATGGGAGGTCAGATGATTGGTTGAGTTTTCGACAGATGAGGAATAAATGTACAACTGCTGTCAAAGCAGCAAAACGAAACTATTTCTTATCTCAGACTTCCAAAAATCTAAATGACCCTAACAGATTCTGGAAAACAATTAAATCTCTCTCAGGCACCCCCCAATCATCTGACCTCCCATCACAACTTCTCATTAACTCTGTTCCTGTGTCAAATAAGCACGAGATCCTGAACTGTCTCAACAAACATTTTGTTGCTTCTGGTTCTTTATTTGACACAGTTACTAATGGAAAATCAGCCACTTCACTTAATAACCAAACTTCTACAAATCAAATCCCTCCTACAAGTCAATCCTCAGTTAATCACAGCTTCTCTTTTTCTCCATTCTCAGTCAGTGAGGTCAATAAACTGTTAAAAGATCTTGATCCTAAAAAATCTGCAGGTCCAGATGAACTTCCACCTTATTTCTTAAGGCTGGCTGCTCATATCATCACAGTCCCTGTGACCCACATCTTCAATCTCTCCATAAGACAAAACTCCATCCCAGACACTTGGAAAACAGCCTTTGTTCTTCCTTTGCTGAAGGGAGGTGACCCCACCTCACTGAACAACTATCGACCAATCTCTAAACTCTGCATTTTAGCCAAGGTTCTAGAAAAACTGATAAACTCTCAAATCAAAAATTACCTGGACTCATTTAACATCTTACCTCCTCATCAATCTGGTTTCAGGAAACAACACAGCACAACCACTGCTTCACTGAAGGTTCTTAATGACGTTGTTGAAGCACTGGATGCTAAAGATTATTGTGCTGCACTTTTCTTAGACCTGTCTAAAGCTTTTGACACTGTGGATCATAACATCTTGTGTCATAAACTCTCAGAAATCGGTTTCTCAGATCACACCATTGGTTGGTTCTCTAACTATCTTTCAGACCGGAGGCAATGTGTTCAACATAATGGTACTTCCTCCAGTTATTTAACAGTCAACAATGGTGTACCACAAGGCTCAGTCTTAGGACCTACCCTCTTTACAATCTACATACATAATGTAGGTAAAAACATCCCTAATGCACCCATACATTTCTATGCTGATGACACAGTTGTTTATTGTCGAGCTAAAACTGTTGCTAAGGCTTTCCAGCTTCTGAAATCTGCATTTAACTACATCCAGACTGATTTGTTTCACCTCAAACTTGTCCTAAATGCCGAAAAAACCAAAGGGATGCTTTTTTCAAATAGGAAGTTGGTCCCAGCAGTTCTTCCTCCGATTTTATCCTCAAATGGTGTCCCCATTGAGTTTGTTGATTCCTATAAATATTTGGGTATCTTGGTCGACTCACATCTTTCTTTTAAGCTCCATGTGGAAAACTTGGTAAAGAAACTGAAAATTAAACTGGGTTTCTTTTTCAGAAACAGATCCTGTCTAACCCTGAATGCTAGAAAACGCCTTGTATCTGTGACTT